GTCTGTTGGATTGATACGCCTAAGACGTCCAGGCCTTTATAGCTATACTACAGAAATAAGAAGGAGCCCAGCAAGGAGCTCTGGGGGAAAAGGACTAAACCAACTGAGGCAGGCCTCTCAAGGGTGTTTTAAGCTCCACTCACAAACTAATACAAAGCAGGGTAACTACACTATAGGGTAGGACTATAAACAGGAGGAGCTGAAGCAAAGGAGGAGGAGAAAGCAAAGCCAAGACTTCACAGTGGCATTAAAGTTAAAAAGGGATTATGGAATCAAACAGACTTTTGTAAAATCTAGGGGAGGTTTATAGACAGGGGGACAAACCTGCAACAGAAACAATGAAATTCTGGAGATAAAGAAACAGATATGTTGGTCCAGGTGAAGGTGGCACAAAAAAAAAAAGGAAAGCGATAGGGGGAAAACATATTCAAATTGTTTGGTTTGCCTTCTTTGGAACATGCAACACAGAATGGTCCTTCTTTAGGGGTCCCTTTCAAATCTATGATACTATATCTGTCATATACATATATATCTATCTCTCTGTGTGAATCATATCTATCTATTTATATCTATGGCTGGATGGATCTTTGTCAGGAGGTCTTTGATTATGTTTTCTTGCCTTGGTGAAGGGAGTTGGATTGACTGGCCTTAAGGCAGCATTTCTCATCCTGGGGGTCGGGACCCTGGGGGGGTCATGAGGGGGTGTCAGAAGGGTCATCAGAAATCACCACAAAGCACAGTATTTTATGTTGGTCATGGTTGTGTCTGTGTGGAAAGTTTGGTCCAATTCTATCATTGGTGGGGTTCAAAATGCTCTTTGATTGTAGGTGAACTATAAATCCCAGCAACTATAACTCCCAAATGTCAAGGTCTATTTCCTGCAAACTCCATCTGTGTTCATACTTGGTCATATGGAGTATTCATGACAATTTTGGTTCAGATCCTTCATTGTTTGAGTCCACAGTGCTCCCTGGGTGTAGATAAACTATAACTCCAAAACTCAAGGTCGGTGCCCACCAAATCGCTCCAGTATTTTCTGTTGGTCATGGGAGTTCTGTGTGCCAAATTTGGTTCACTTCCAACATTGGTGGACTTCAGAATGCTCTTTGATTGTAGGTGAACTATAAATCCCAGCAACTACAACTCCGAAATGACAAATTCATTTTTTTTGAGTGATGGTCATTCGTTGGCTGATAGGTATATTGTATCCAACTTTGGTGTCAATTCGTCCAGTGGTTTTTGAGTTATGTTATGTTAAGCCCACAAACGAACATTACATTTTTATGTATATAAATAATAATAATAATAACAATTATTATTATTATTATTATTATTGTTGTTGTTGTTGTTGTTGTTGTTGTTATGTGCCTCAATGCAGATACTGTTTTAATATTTTTTTCTTGCATATATTTTCTTGTTGGTTACTATATTTGGAATTTTGTTTTTCAAATAAAAACTATATATTAAAACAGAAAAGAAGGGAAGGGAGGGTTTTTGAGTAACAAGCAGAAGCAAATTATACTACAATCTTCAAATCAACATATTGCATCTGATTACTATTTGCAGCATGTAGCCCTTTAGATGTTGTCAGACTACAATGCCCAGCAGCCAACTTAGGTTACATTATGGAATGCAAGGAAATACTGCCCAACAAATATCTGATACATTACATACTAAACATGAAGATCAGTTGTCAGAAAATCTGACTTATTGATGCCTGGTTTTAGTATAAGCAGAAGAAGGGAATTAGTTTCCCTGAATATTACAGGACCATCCTATACCCATTTATTTGAAGGAAAAAACATGTTATAACTGAGGCTAAATTAAAAAGTTGCATTTGGTTATTTCTGAGCGACAGGAGTGACTTTTGCCTGCTGTGTGCCATGGTTCAGAAACTCTGAAGAGACTGATCATAAGAAATGCTATCCATCATTTTCCTCAAGACTTCCCCTTCCTGTTGAGCTCTGCAACCTATGCATGTGGGGCTGTTATTATTTTTGCTATTTACTTCCATGACAAGTTGACCTTTAGTCTACATGGGCTGGCCTCCTGTGGAGACTCCACTCCTCTAGGGCTTGTGCACCTTGGAAGGTCACAGTGTTTGGCAGTGAGATGTTTAACTTTTTAAAAATGTTCTGCTTGTATGCCTAATATATGGGGGGAGGCAATATTAAAAGTCTGGAATAGAATAGCAATCGGATGAAGAAAGAACGGAGACAGAGCAATGGTTTAGCTTCTAATAGCACTGAAACCAAATGAAATTAAATGAAAGTTTTGTTGCTATGTGCCCACATTCATTCCTAACTTAGAGTGACCCTAAAGTGAAATGGCAGAAATCTGAACCCTGATCTTATGTGAAAACCAATACACCATATTGGCTCTGAAGATTGCAATGGCCTGTTAAATGTATTATGGTGTAAACTTGCAAAGTATCCTCTCTATTACTCTGAGAAAAGCTATATACTGTGATATAAACATTATATGGATGCTTCATATAAACAGGATGGATGCTTTGGCTACTAGCTATCATGACATTTGTTTCCAATGAGCTTTTGGACAGTTCTAGTTCCCAGACAGCCAGAGAAGTCCATCTTATTATCAAAGGCAGCTGTATGCCTTTGTTTTAGTTTGTCCGGAACCAAGATTAGGTTCAACTGCATGTATGAAGTCCAGAAACAGAGGGAATTCAGATATTTTGATTAATTCAGTTTGATACCACTTTAACAACCACGGCTCAATGCTATGGGATCATGTGTGAAGCAGTTTTACATGGTCTTCTATACAAAAAAATGCTGCTGCCTCCCCAAATTACAGCTCCCATGATTTCATAACATTGAGCCATGGCAGGTAAAATTGTGGTGTAGATGCAGCTTTGGTTACTATAAATTAGGATATAAAAGGATTTTGCACTATGTTGGTTTGCTTACTTTGGCAAATGCCTTGCTTATTAATTCACATTTGAAAACTGGTTTTGTAACGTTTGCAGCAGTCCACTTAGTACTTGGTGCGCAATCAGTCATACAAACTGTTTTATTTTTTGTAGCAATCCAAACAGAAGATTAGGAAGAAATTGAGTACTTGATTTACTTTGTTTTCAAAAACAAAGTACTCCGTTGCTTTTAGTTTGTAAAGTTCTGGGATTCTGTTTGGTGAGATCAACTGATATGTATAGTTTGCCAAATATAAACCAGTATGCACAGGTATCCTACCTCATTCTCGTTTATTATGCTTCCTTAAGGGTGCTCTGGAAAATAAATGTGTGTCCATAACTATGCCATGAGTATAGGTCTCCCAACCCCACCCCCCAGATATGGTTTGATAATGTTTTACAAATTTAGTTACACTCATGGTGACTTATCTCTTGGGCTCTCAGACTATTAGGAACTGTAGGAATCAGGCTGAAAGACTACAATAGAATAGCGGCAATACTACCTTGCCAACATGCAAGTGTGGAGAAGAGCAAACCACTGACCACCTATTACAATGCAGTCTGAGCCCTGCCACATGCACAATGGAGGATCTTCTTATAGTAACTCCAAAGGCACTCCAAGTGGCCAGCCACTGATCAAAGGACATAATGCCAAGGTTTTTTTTAACTTCGTTTGTGTCTTTAATTACAATTGTACCCTCAATTCGGTTCTGACACGATAAATAAATAAACCTTGCCAGGTTAGTGGTGACCCATATGTCTGAGTGTTTAGAAGACTTGGATTGGCAAGTGCTGTGTGGCCCTGAACCTCCCGTTACTATGGTAATCTAGTAGACAAACAAAATTTTAAAAAATCTCATTGCTTTTTAAGGATTTAAATGTTTAAATGATGAATGGAATCTGATGTATGCCACTGAACAGGTTAAGCAAAACCTGATAGTAGTTGTCTCTTGAACTGTATCTATTCATATTGTGCATGAAGACATCCATATATTTTAATTTTATATGATTTCATATAATATATAATGTATAAATCCTTTTTTCTTACTTCAATGAATATAGGGGCATCAATGATGCTAAATAAATAATGGTTTTTTAAAAAAAAATTCTCCCTGTTGAGAGCAAAAGCACCTTGTGCAAAAGAACAGCTCATAAGCATCAAGATCTTTATTGTTCATCGAAATATTGTTGTATCTATATGAAAACATTCAAACAGACAAGCTCCTCCTGTAGCCTGCAATAACAGACAAGGAAAATAAACTACTGAATCTACAGAGTTCAAGCACATGTTCCTAGGTAATCGCATATAAAACTGAAGTCTCATTTATATATGAAAGATATATATATGAAAACACATGCCTTCTTACTGCCAATACATCATTGTGTTAATCAAGTATTTTTGTTCAGCCAAGACAAAACTGTATTTTCAAAGGTTGTGTGAAAAAAGGGTCCTCTACAAATCCCTGGTGTTTGACTGAGATGTTTTTATTTGTGCAGAATAGTATTTATATTGCAAAGGAAACCACATACACACAAATACACATCCATCCATGCACCCTGCTATTATATGCTGGCTTTTCTGCTGTCCTTTTTATTCCCTCCCCCCACTACAGATTATATTAGAACCAGAATAGCATTAAATGACTATTTTATACTTTAAATATTCAAGAGTTTTATATTCAAAATTTCTTCTGCTGCTGTCAAACTGGAGTGCCTGAAGGCAAGGTAAGATCAAGTTAGGTTCTCAAAGGTAGAATTAAATTTTATCAGGGCATCCGTCATAATATGCAGGTTGCTTAAAATGCAAATAAAAAGTGTAGCAATTCATAGGCTGAAGCATTTCCAGGTAGAAAGCAACGTCCAGGGGACCATTTCTATGGAACTGATTCACTTCAATTACATTTCTATCATTTTAATGAAAACATGGAACAAACAAGCAATAATAGGTATATTTTAACCCCTACTTTTTCATTTGCGTTTCTTTTTCTTTTATAGTATCTCTCACAGAATTGAAAAAAAAGGGAAGCACAGAGAGAAAACAGGAAGAGAAAGCATATTAAGAAGCCATTACCTCGGCCATTTTTGAAAGTTGAGTCCAATCCTCTTTATTATAGCTGCACATGATGCTGGCAATGAGAATCTGAAAAGATAAGCATAGGTTTATACAACGCTGCACTCCTGAATAATTCTTTTCGCACATACTGCTTTGTGTTTGCTTTCAAAGGCTTGTTCCTCATACTTCTAGCAATTCTATTGTGTGTTGTAGCGGCTGTATAGTAGTCTTGGGAATTTAAAAGAAGCCTGTAGTAAAGTACACAGAACGCTGAAAGAACAATGGAGCCTGAGGCTTTGGACAAGTAAGTATCTCTCGGCAGAACAGAAAGATATGTAACATCCCAATTCCCTAAATCTCAAGCTGTGTGAATGAATTGTAACCCAACCATATCTCATAATAAATTCAGTATTTTTTAACACCCAAGTTTTACAAAACCGAGAAATACAGCAGTACATGTAATTGGAGTATTGGGAGATGGATACAGTGCTGGGGGAATTCAGGATATTATAAATTTGCACTTTTGCAAAGAAGTGAGGCAAACTTGCTTGACAAATTTCAGCCCGATCTCTTTTATTTTAAAGTACAACTCAATTTTCCTAGGAAAGAACAATTTCCATTGACAAAGTAGTTTGCAGAGGTTAGCATGTGGGTGATATACAGGAAATAGGCAGCAATTCAGAAACACAGGAAGTAATTGCATCTCTCGAGGTGTTAAATGAGTATCGCCAGAGAAAATAGTATTATTACTAATCCCAGGAGCTGTGAACAGGTCACATTGTTCATCTCTTGACACTGGAAAAATGACAGGCTAACAGTTGCCCTTTAGGATTTTGTAGTCTTCTGGTCTCACAGATGTGGTTTGTGTATATAAAAAAAACAGAAGAAAAGATCAGATTTAAAGGTGACCTGGGCAACCATATTAAGTGCAAGGTACAAGGGACCTTCCTCATGGAGACTCTGTGACTCTAACATGTGAAAAAAACCTGGAAAAAATGGGATGACAAAAAAAAAAAGACATGGAATGTCCCTGCCAAATGAGGACAGTTATATAATAATAATACACTTTGTTTATATTCCGCCCTTCTCCCCTAGGGGATTCAGAGTGGATTACAGCATTTACATACATAGACAAGCATTCAATGCCATTCCAGTCATATACAATGATGACACACAAACACAAACAAAGGCAAAGGCTTCTCCTTTCATTTCCAGCTTCTGGAGGCGATGCTAAGCTCTGGCTCTGGGAGGTGCTTTTCTCCATTTTCAAGCTGAGCCTGCATTGTCACCTCCTGGTTGTGTGGCCAGCAAGATTGCTTGGAGTGCCTCTTTGTCTTTTATTGCTGAAGCAGTACCTATTTATCTACTCACATTTCCATGTTTTCAAACTGCTAGGTTGGCAGGAGCTGAAGCTGACGGATTCAAACTGCCAACCTTTTGCTTCAGCAGTTCAGCCAACCCTCAGGTCAGCAGTTAAGCAGCACAAGGGTTTAATCCATTGCACCACCACAGCTCCTTTATGAGAGCCCATTTGCCACAGCACCCCAATAGAGTTTCAAATTGAATAAGGCAGAATAACTAATAAAATGTTCACCTACTGTAATTTCATTCAATTACATTATTGTCTATTAATGTGACAGAAACAAAAGCTAGTGCCTTGTGTATTATACACATAATGTGCATGCCTTATGTATAAGGCTGGAGTGGATTTGTTTTTATCTCAGAATTATTTCAAAGATTTGCTTTAAACCTTTCCTGTGGGGATAAACATGATTGGCATTTTTGTCTAAAACCTTGTTTAAATGAGAGAAAGCAAGAACAAGGAACATGTTAAATTGGATTACTGACACATGTACAATTAAGAAAGAAGCTTAATTTTCAAACGAGTTGATTCTTAATGTGCTGCTTGTTAACCAATCTTTTCTCTTTTTATCAGTTTTGGTAACTTCTCTGTGTAGTCTGACATGGTGGTTGTTAGAGTGGTCCAGCATTTCGGTGTTCTCAAATAATATGCTGTGTCCAGGTTGGTTCATGAGGTGCTCTGCTATTTCTGACTTCTCAGATTGAATTAGTCTGCAGTGCCTTTCGTCTTCCTTGAACATGAAAGGCACTGCAGACTACACAGAGAAGCCATTGAAATCCATGCATATGAACAATTTCAACAGAAAGGAGGAAACCATTAAACTGAACAAAATCTGGCTACCAGTATTTTAAAAAGTCTAAAATCAGGATAGTAAATAAAGAGGAACCCTAAAAAAACAGGGGAATTCCAGACAAAAATCTATCAGGGCCAGCTGACACCTCCCAACAAAAGATCCCCAGGCACCAACCAGCCAGGCTTTGAGGCTGCAAGGGCATTAAATGCAAATCAAGGTGGCCAGTTGCAACATTCACACTTGCCTCAAACAAACAAGAGTTCTTTCTCCCACCCTGGACATTCCACAGATACATAAACCTCACTTGTCTAGTTTCCAACAGACCTCACAACCTCTGAGGATGCCTGCCATAGATGTGGGTGAAATATCAGGAGAGAATGCTTCTGGAACATGGCCACAAAGTCCTGGAAACTCACAGCAACCCAGGTTCCTCTTTTATTTAAGATTAGAGCAGTACTTTCCTCTACAGCTCCACTTCTCAAACGTTTTTCATAAAAGCTCTTCCTCCCTCCCCTTTTTTGGCATTATATATCAATGAAAGTTTGACTCCTTAACCTTTTTCCATCTTTTTGAATACTTTCTTGTGATAATTTTGAATACTTTCTTTTGAACATTTTCTAAGTGGAGCACAGATGCATGTTTTTTTTCCCCTTCAAATTTCCAGTATGGAAATAGATATTGTAGGTTTCTGGTGGGGATACTTAATAAATTGCAGCTCCTTCACAGCTTCTAATTTTTTTTAAAAAAAACTTCCAAGAAGTACATATTGTTGATTCTAGGAGCCGTAACCCAAAAACATGACTTTTCCAAGATCTACTACTACACCACCTACTACAAAAGAGCATACAGTACCATTCTACAGATGTCTGTCAAAGAGATGGAATGGGATTTATTCCCAGGTGAATGTGCACAGAGTTGCATTTTACATGCATAAAATTAAAGCTTGGTATTGCAGGACTAGCATGGGGGTCATAGAACAGAAGCTACCTTCTGCCAAGAGAGAAGCAGGTTGGAAGAGAAGGAATGACACATTTTTCCCTCCCCTGTGCTCACCTACAAGTCCACGTGAGAATCCTCCTGCTCCCAACATATCTAGAATAGAAATCTATCTCCTTATCCTTTTCCTACCAACATTCAGCTGGGCAGCAACATAATTTTCAGACTACCATTTCTGTGTGCTTATTTAGACTATTGTATGCCAAGATATGCTGGTGTCATTTGCTTCAGTGTATCCGGGATCTCGTTCTCTTTAGAAGCTTTTAATTAGTTCACAAAGTTCACAAAGATTGCAATGTTATATCTTCTTACTGTAACCAGCATGGGCGGCAGTGGATTACCATATCCATTTGGTGCTGAGCCCCTCCACTTATCTGGAACTGAAGAGTTATAAAAGGACCTGACTTCATCTCTAGAGCAGATTCAACACTTTCAATAGTGCCTTGAAGTTCATACTACATCCTAGGCCAGATTTTCCACCCTAATGATACATGATCCATTGGCTACTCTTGGTAACTGGGGACCTCTTCATATGGGGTGTTTTTGCCCTGTTTTGCTGCTTTTATGAGTGGCTTGGATGGGGCCCACCATACACTATAATGTGACGTACAACAAGCTCCACCCACATTCTTCCCAAAGTGGAGTGGAAGCGCTGAAAAGCGCTTTCTCTTCCACTACAGAGAGGAAAGTGTTGTTTGGGTAGATCCAATGGAGCTACCCACACTTTCCTCCCCTTTTTGCCATGTGTTGGCAAAAAGAGTGGTGGGGTAATGCCATTTCTGCAATCTCATGGGAGGAGGGAAAGGGTGCCAACACACCCTGTCCCATCCCCACCATATGATGAGGAGAGGACGGAGGGCACGTGGGGTGCAAGGAGCTGCCCCACATACCTTCCCTTTTGTGGCAAACAGCTGTGTGCAGATGTCATAGGAAGGAAAGAGAAACTGGTTTCAATTTGGGTTTTGCTCAGAATTACTAACATTCACAAAATTTGAATGTGATACAAAAGTAAAATGGACTGACCTCCCTTTCCTCCTTCTATTAACATCATCTCAATCCTCTTTCTTTTTATCCTTTGGAACTGAGACTCATAGTACTTTACAAAGTAAAGCAAAGGCTATAAGGCTATAACCATACAAATGCGGAAAATTCAAATGCAACTATTCAAGGTATTAAAACAGTTTAAAATATATAATTAAAAATAACAAAACACAATTTTAAATAGTACAATTAACAGTACCCTCTTTAAAATGATCCTTTCTTTTAAAACCATAACAATTTTCTTTTGTTGGCTATTGTTGTTTTTATTTTGTTATGGCAACTGTCTTAATCATTCCGCATTATACAGAAATTACAGACTTTTCAAACAAAGCAGAAAAGTATTTGTACGTTCCATCTTCACAGACATAGAGATCAAAAATCTCTTCTCTCTTTCTAAGTTTTAAACTCACAGACATCTCACACTCAGATCACAAAATACACATGACGGTTATTGTCCCACAGATAAATAGGATGATCTACATCTGCATGGTAGATCTAAGGGTAAGGTGGATAGTAATAGAAATATTTCCTTTATATCTTTTTATGGTGTAAGTGGTGGGATCGAGGCCCTGATCTCAATCCCACCACTCTCACAAATGTGGTTGGTGGGGACGAGAGACAGGGCCTTCTCAGCAGTGGCCCCTCGTCTGTGAAACTCTCTCCGTAAGGACATCAGGTTAGCCACCTCCCTCCTGTCCTTTAGAAGACAACTGAAGACCTGGCTCTGGGGCCAGGAATTCAATTAGAGGCCAGCGGCAATAGGAAAAGGAAATTTGGATTTTGCGACATGGATTCTCTCAGCTCGGCTTGGTTTTTACTGGCACGTTAATCTATTAATTTATTGTTAAATTATACTGATGATGTACAATGTTTTAAAGTGATTTTATTGTGAAT